ATATTTAAGGCTGTGAATATTTGCGGACAAAAAAAAATAGCTACCCTATATAATTGAAAAAAGTAAACTATATTAGCTACAATCTACTTTTTTATTGACAAATTTTAAGAATTGCTACTTTTTAAGTGTCACTTTTCAAAAATGTCACATTTTCAAAAAATTTGTAAAAATGTCATTTAAAAAAAAAAAAAATTCATTATATCATTTATGTTTGGGTTAACTATGTTGTATTAGAGTTTTATTTTGAGTGTTTAAGAGGTTTTAAGGGTCAAAACATTTTTTAGGCTTTATAATTTTAAAATTTAGACTTTAAAAATCCATAATTAGTGGTATTTTGCAAATGGACACCCCCTAAATGGTATTCTTGCAAATGTACACAACAAAAATGATATTTTTGCAATTGCCCCTTTTTTTATTTGAAACAAAAATTATTTATATTATTTTTCTAGAACACACATATTTAATAGTACATTTAAATTCAAATTTATGAAAAGTAACGATGTTGATACAAAGTAACTATGTTGATACAAACAACATTTAATTTGAACACATACTGTGTTTGCTTAAATAATTGTTGTTAAATGCTGCACTGAATTAAATACACATTTAGAAAAAAAATTAACACATGAAAACAAAAATATGATAATTTTTAACACATCTCCGCTATTATTTTTTATTTTAATAACATAAGAATGATAAAGATTTAAGTATTTTTAAATTTTAATACAAATTTTTTTTTTTTTTACTTTTACCATATCAATTTCATTAATCTCTAGGACTAATATTTTAGGTTTATTAAAAATATCTTTCTTAATACATATTATTGGTTTTTGGTCCATACCATTCTTTTTTTCAACCGGATTAGCAGTTTATTATCTTTGTAACAAATAACAATGCACAAGTAGTTTTCTCACATGTTGAGAAATTTGTCGTTTTTCAAATTTTACAACTCTCAACAGCTTCGTAATCTTAGTTTTATTTTCAAAAGCCAAAAATCTGAAACCTTAAGAACTTGTAAGAAAGCTTAACACTAACTAGATTTTTGATACGTGTCACGAGACTAAAATATTTGAAAATTATAATATACGAGCGAAACTAAAAATAACAAAGATCAAATGATATATCTTCTATATAGATAAATATATTTTATCTTACAAAATTTAATCTGCATAGCATTTTAAATGTAAATCGAATACGTTTGAGATTATGGGTTCTCTCAAACTTATTTGAGCTCACCAAACCCAAAAATTATCTCGTTAGTATGTAAATTTTGAAATAATAAATAGTGAAAATGATGATTTTCAAAATTCAACTATTAATGTTTAATTTACAAAGTTGTAGTTTATAACAAAAGTACAGTTTAATTAAAATAATATGGATATAAATAAACGATATAAAAGAAAATAATTGTATAATCAGCCACATATGGTATCCAAATGGACATAAAAATACCATTTTTATAAAATAATTGACATTGGTAAATGACTCATCGTTAAAATATTATGTTATACAACGTTTAAAATATTAAAATGTTATATTTTAGCTAGATTTAAATTTAGTAACATATGTATTTGTGAATTCATGTTAAAAACTAATATAAATATGTGAAGATTTTCTACATGATGTATATAATTAATTGGAATATTTTAATTGGTTAATTTAATTGATTTATCCTTTAAAATCCTCATTGAATTGAATGATGCATATGATTTTTCCATTTAATGTCTTTCAATTAATATATAGAAGATTTATTAATTTTAGTTTATGAACATTTTATCCTTCATCCAGGTTACCAATTTGTAGCTTCTAGATTTGCATTACTTATACACACACCTACACTAAAATTTCGGTGTATAAGCTGTGTAGTTTTATATGAGTTGTAGATGGGGTTTTTAATATGATATAAATAAAGTAGATAAATATGAGCAGAAAAGCAACGATGAGCTGTGTAGTTGTATATTTTTTTAAAAGAAAACAACAATGAGCTAGCTGTTACTAAATCATTGTTAAGAATGTTGGCGGCGATGCTGGATTTTGAAAGAGAAAAAGAAAAAAAAAAATTTTTGTCCTAAATCCTTGTCTATCTATAATTTTGTACAGATATTTATATCCAGTGACTTTGTATTTGCATGAATATATTAAAAATGATCCGAATGCATTATCTGCTTTTATTATATATGTGGACATGCGAAAATTGGTAATAATCAGCATTTGCATGTGACAATCTGTTTTTGTCTGTCCCGTAAGAGCTTTTCCATTTCTGAGTGCTTCGACCCCAATTTTAGTTATTGTTTTCTCGACCGTGTAACCAAGTATTGCCTTGTTGATTGACCTTGTTTGTTATACACTCACTATCAAGCAGGTTTCGGAAATCTAGAGAATTTTAAAGGACTATTAGAAAGTGGGAAATTTGATGGAAACAATGGGAAGAGAAACTGATAGATAATAAGGAGACATTGTCATACATGTGAGCTGAACCAGATGGAGAGGCAATCATTAGTGGTATTCTAGAGTATTGATAGAGATGAGCTCGTCTCGAATTGGTTTATCGATGACATGTATGTTAGGCGCAGCAATGATGACAATGAGTAACCGTGGCACATGCGATTCTATTCTCTCTAAGTATCGTAGATTGGATTTTGAAAGGCTAGGCAAATAAAAAGAAAATATACCCATCTATATCGCTTAGAGATTTTTTGAGTCTCTCATTTAATAATTTTAATACAATTTAATTATTTATTTAAGAAAATTTTAAATTATTAAAAACACACTCAACCAATCAAATAAGGTCAATTGGGAATGAATTTCTAAAAAATATAAAAACCAATTCTCCTTGAAAAAACTCTATTCTATTGCTCTTCACCTTTTATTTTTGATTATTATTTGTTTAACACGAGAGACCTATCAAGAACTTGCCAATAAGGATACTTTTACGAGTGAAGTCCATATGTCTCTAGTCTGTATGGTAAGAGCCTAGGATTGTTGCGGTCCGTCTGCCTAGGATTTGATTTTGGTAGTAGCACGTAACGATCAAAGTCAAATCGGGAGCTCATTAAAGAGGCAAATTCAATGAAACAACAACAGTTTCTAAACTGAACCGGTTCACATAAAAAGACTGAACATACTTTCGCATCATAACTGGACGTCCCGGTCCACTGAACAATCCCGGGTTGGCTTTGAAAATACAATAGCCGAGACAACTATTTCAATCAACAATCACTTTTAATTTATTAAAAGGGCAAGAAAGTATTAAAAAGGAGGAAGCCTATATTCATAGTGGGCTACATGGGCCAAACTCAACAATACTCTCAAGGCCTTTTATACTATTTTTTTTCCCGCATTAATCTCAAGTCTTTACTTCTTTCCCGCCATCTAGTTTCCCGCCAAATATCCACAAGATAAGCCACCTGGTTTCTTCCCGCGAAATAAATTATTAAAGAAAAACAATTTCTTC